AATTTAGAGGCCGGTCCCCATATATGTACTTGTTTGGACTTAAGTCCGTCAAGAAAAATTATTTGTTGTGAAGTTCGTTTTTTGTCAATTTTATCAGACTATCCTTTCCCTTTAGAAGTGAAGTAAAACTAAAAATTAAAAACTCCTAAATTTTAGGAGTTTGACTAATATTAAAAAAATTTCTCTCGTATTATTCAAATACAAAAAAAAATTATCATTTAAACACAAAAAATAATACCATTGAAAAACAAAAAAATAGTAATTAATATTTTTAAAAAATAACAACAGTAATATATTTAACAAAAATAGTAACATGCTTAACAAAAAAAAATAGTAATATAGAACATTGACCAAAATCGAAAATAAAAATAATAGCATTCAAATTCATAACTAGAGAAAGAAGTCTCTAAGTTTTCAAATTTTTCATTATTTTTTGTATTTTTAATTTCAAAATGTGATTCATTGTTACTAAATTAATTAATATAGATTTCAATTTTTTAGATCTTTTGTTGTGCAATACAATTGAAAAATGCTTAAATGTGTTATTTATGGGAAAAAATTGATGTTACTATGAGGGAAAAGGAAAACCATTTTTACATATCTGATGTTTTGATTCAATTGACGATTATATGTTACTATTCTAAATAATGTAATTTTTAAATTTGTGGACCATATTTTGTGAAAAGTAAGGGAAAATTATTGTTATTCTAAAAAAAAAATATTTCATTGATGTTACTATGTAAAAAATATCTCGTTAACATCATTTTGCAACATATATCCTCCTGAGTTTTGTTAAAGTCGTTGTGTTACTGTGTATAAAAATTTGATGTTATTGTAAAGAAAAAAATAGATGTTTACGCTGCGATTTGCAACTGTTATTATAAAGGTTTGCATTTGTTATTGAATGAGAGGATCTTCTTCTAATGAGAGAGAGAGAATATATAATTTTGAATTTCAATTAAGGAGTAAATTAAGGGATAATAATTTCTAATTTAAGAAATTAATTTAAAGTTACTTTTAAGATTTTTAAAGTTTCTATAATTGAATACAATAATATTGTTAAGGGTATTTTTGAAATTTAAAAAAAATAATGGACTTAAATATTTATTAGTAAAATAAAAAATGAACTTATTACCAAATAAATTTTTTTAATGAATTCAAGTAATTATAAGACTATTCAAGAGGACTCCGTGCTAATTTTTACTTTTTTATTTCATAACAACGATTAATTATCGATCCTAAATGATTGACACGTCGGACTTGGTTTGGTTTTTTTGGTTTGGTTGAATATCGATTAAAATATCTTTGGGGAAATTACATTCATATCATGACTAGAGCCTGCATTGCACTCCTTTCTGTTTTGGTTGTTTGTAATGGATTGCCCCAAACATCAATTTATGGTTAGAACCGATTGCAACAACCCATTCCATACGAATTGGGCGAATCATCTTCCATATCAAATTTGAATCTGCCTTATTATCTCTCATCTCTCTGCCACTTAGATCTGGAGTCCAAGTCTTTGAAACGGGGTCAAAGGAAATGGGATTGTTGAAATTGGGTGCTAAAAGGGTTTGGCTATTCTTTAGATGGGCGTTTGTTGAAATTGTTTGGGTTGTTGGAGATGGATGTGGCTGGATTGAGGATTGCCAGTGGTGAAGGCGGTTGGAAGAGATTGTGGTGGTCAGTTGTGGCCTATGGTGATACTGGTTATGTATATTGGGGTTAGGGGTGAGGATATTACGATGGATGGGTGGGTTTATTGTTGGTGGGTGAGGCGAGAGTTTTTGGTGGTTCTGATTGTGTTTTTTGGGGACACTGCTTGTGTTTGTGTACTGCCTTGTTGCGTGGTTTTTGGATGGATAATTCACCGGAGAAGATGATTACTGAGTGCAAATTAGTGTTTGACATGGAGGGTATTATGGACATCCATATATTTAATAAAGTACAATATAAAAAATAATTTTTATTTTTTGTAATTAAGATCATTTTAAATTTTATTTTAAAATTAATCTGACGATTAATATTAACTCTCAAATTTAAAAGATATAATAGGCCTCCAAGAGTTTGTTTGTGATAACTTGTCAAAAGTGTTTTTATAAACGCTTTAAAAAAATAGTATTTAGAATAACTTATTTTAATTACTTTCAAATAAATCAAAAGTAATTTTATCACTTAATTAAGTAAATAAAATATAATTTCTACTTCTCTACAAAACACTTTTTCACCACACCCATTACCACTAGTCATCGCTCATTATCACCACCACCTACTATCACATACTCCCACCAAACCTACCACCATCACTGTCATTTGCGACCACCAATTACCATAGTCGCCCACAAGTACTCATCATCACCCACCACCACCATTGTCAACACCCACCACCACCACCACGATCGCTATCATCCATAAGTGTCACTATCATCATTGTCACCTAAAAGCCATCACCATGGTTGTCGTTGTCCATCACAACCATCATTGTCTCTCACCATCACTAATACCCACCACCACTACCGGTGTTTACCTCCACTACAATCAGTACTTAAATTATTTCTCTCTTCTCTATGTGTTGTTATTTGATTTTAGGTATAAATACAAATATGTTTTATGATTGATAATTTTTTTTATTATTCCGTGTCTTTAGGCACAGACAATTAACCTAGTTTTAGATAAAATTTATTATAATCATATATCTTATTTTTGTTATGAGAAAGGGATGGTTTTTACTGACAGATGGAAGGCAATCTTATTTTCCTAACAAAAGGGTGTCATTGTTATTTGATCAAACATCAAGGGAGATAAATGTAACTTAACCCAATATTATTGGCAGAGCATCTACAATAAGTTGTCACTCAATTCTCTATTTTAGATAGTGAACTGTTAAAATTGTATTTGCAATAAACTCTTTATTTAGACACTTTAAAATAAAGAGTCTAATTTGATTCTTCATATTTGGAAAGTGAGGCTCACTATTTACTCTATTTTTTTTTTGGGAATATTTGTCTTTTTATCTAAAATATTCGAGATAAAAACATATCTCCATGCTAAAATAGAGGGGTAAAGGAGAGAATTCAAATTTATTCTTAAAAAATACAAAGTATATAAAATAATAAATTGATAAGAATAAAGAGTTCTATTAGAGTGGTATATAAAATTTTATAATCTATTTCAACTTTTTGTCATAGAGGCTATTTATTTTTTTTTTTAAAAATATTTTCTATTTTAGAGAGCAGATACTCTTAGTTTTGGTCAAAACATGTGGGCAAAAAATTGGATTTTGACAAACGTACCCCTTTTATTTTCCGGCAATTCATTTCTTTACCTCTACTTTCTGAATTCCAATTCTCCAATCATCTCGGCATAACAGGTGTTTTACATTAGATCGATGTTGGATCTGCAATGAATCATCTATCATGGCTATTTCATTTACTCGTATCTTAGGGTATATCTGGTTTAGGAATTAAGAGATTGGATTGTATTAAGTTAATCCGACGATGTAATACCAAATTTGAATTAAGTTATAACGATCAAGCATTAATTTCTTATTAATCCCGATATAGTTCACTATTAAACTGTTCATTTTAAAATCGGTTCATCAGCCTTTGACCCTCTGGGCTTCATATAAGTACTCCTGTTGTAGTCCTAAAAGTCACGTTCTACAATTTAGATTCTAATAAATAGCTGACAATGATCTCAAGTGAACCATCGAAAATTCAGTTTCTAAAGTTGGTTAAACGTTGGTAACTCCATTTTGCTCCCTTCATTGGTCTGTGGCAGAATTGCTGTAACAATGTAATGTTTTGCACAACCACAGTCCACAGTCAACAAGGTTTGGACCTGCTCGACCAGCTAGATGATTAGCTCGTTTACAAAGAACCACTGCAGTCTATTTCGTTTCTGTTAGCTACTGTTTTTCAATTCAACCCACTGGAAAAAAAAAAAAAAAAAACCTCTATTGCATGGATATTTTGACTTTTACATTCACTGCGAGTTTGTTTTGGGCGTCTCAAGTGTGTGAACACAATTTATAATGCCAATTTGCGCACAATACATTCATTTCAAGGTCATAACATAATGCAAGAGTTTAGAAGATCAACACATGCTTGAGACTAAGAAGTTATACAAAGTAATGAAATACACTAACCAACCATTCAACCATACTCTTACATCCAACATTTCAAACTCTTTGGTGCCTAACAACCTTGTGACAGAAAATGAGCAATCCATTAGGCACCCTAGAAGCTTAGCTATCGATAATTCATGACGGTTTTCTATGGTGCTCTTGGTCTATCAATGCATCCTACTACTAGATCTACATTAGGATTTTGGGAAGGTATTGCTAAAGCCTAACCTACAGCTCCAACAATTACACAACAATGGCTTTAACTTAGGTTCGCCCAAATCCTCCTGTCACCTCTACAATACACAACTTGGGGTTTTGCTTATGCTAACCCAAACTTCTGATACTCTTCACTTCAACAATACACAACTTACTTAAGGCCTTATAAGCTATCCTCTAGCTAACATTCCCAAGCGTGTTGTAAGATGTGTCTCAACACAAGCAAAGAAAGCCCATGCTTTCCCTTGTCTTTTATTTATTTATTTTGGGTTCAACGGTCAAAGATGTCTGAATCAACTTATGCATATCTCGACTAATCTCCTTTCCAGTTTGGTCAAAGGTAGATCATTCACGCCGTGACTAGGGTATTCACAAGAAATAAATCCTTTATAGCCTAACCCCAAGGGATTACCAAGATTCGAACTCATTCCCTTATCACTCTAAGGTGTTCTCTGTGTGCTTATATGACTTAGGGCACTCACACATATGATCTCCAAACTAAACATAAGTGATAGGCAGGCATATGTAATGTCACTATGATTGCTAGTCAAGTGTGCTAACGGTACTCATGCCACTAACGCGCCCCCAAACAAAACAAATATATATGTAGCAAATGGGTAAAATAAGGCTTAAAAGGCAACTTCCAAATGGGATCAATAGAAACAGGAAAAATACTTTGGCACAAAGGATATGTTGTAACCTGAATAACAAGGAATTCTTTTGTGGGCTCTTGCGACTACAGCATGATGTTGGATAAAGTATGTTCAAAATATGCATGTATCCTATTGTGTGTTCAATAAAAATAATAAAATAACATGCTATTCCCCCAAAATTACAATTCAGTTGACTAAAGCAGAAAGAGTGACTTGAATTTCTCTTACTGCTTAACGTGCAGGAGAAAAGGAACTTGATTTTTTTGCCAATAATAGCCCCTTGAACACCTGAACCTGGTCAGATTTCCATTCCCTCCTACGTAACTCCAACACTGGCATTGAATTTAAGAAAGCCGTCTGAGGCAATCTATTAAGACATCTGTATGTTCAGGCTTACCAACAGAGACACGCACGTAACCCTTCAATTCTTTGTTACTGTAGTGACGGATCATCACCCCCATTTTTGCAAGGTCTTCCTGCAAATGTATGACCCATCATTCAAAATACTGAAAAGTAAAGAACAGGCTAGCAACATTCAGTTTTCTGAAATTTTGCAATTTTTTTGTATTCTGAATACATTTCCACAAGCTTTAATATGAAATTAAAAAAACGCATCCCAATTTCCATGCAACCTCCAACCCCACACACATGAGAGAGAGAGAGAGAGAGAGAGATATTCTGAAAAAATAGTAGTTATATTTTATTATTTTGAAACTCCGTTGATATATAATTTGTCAAACTATCAAATGCTCCAAAAGCTCAAGCTTCCAGAGAGTGAAACTCATGATGTACATGAAGCTCACAACACTCCCAATCATGTGTGACCCTTGCTCACTTGAAGAGGATACATGCACACATAGAACATGAACCTGTTGTATCAGAGCACAGGCACAATGAAGGAACAGTGTAGACTGTGACACTAGAACCAAAGATCTCGAGGAAAGAAGTTCAGATACTCTCCTAGACTAACAACTAATCTAAAAAATTAAGTTGTTAAAGAATGAGTCCAATAATGTTGCAAGCCCTCATGTAGAGTAGACAAACATGTGCAAAAATACAATATGAACCCTGGTACATCATTATAGTCAAACATAACGACAATATCATACACTAACACTGAGACTCAAACCCAAAATATTAAAAACACCAAAAAATTTGGAATGAATCCAACCATATGTATTAAGCTCTCAACATTACTCTTATGTGTGACCCTCTTCCCTCTGGAGCGCAGTATAGTTATCAAATCACGATTCGTATCGGAAATTGAAATTCTAGATTTGAGAATCGGGAATCATAAAATTCGGCACAAAATTGGAACAATAATAAAAAACAATATCTATATATTTAAAATAGGTAAGATATTAAATATTGAACATTATTGTATTTTAAAAATAATCAATTGATGGTATTAACATGATCACGTCGTCTATATAGAAAGATGCTAGCCTTTATAAATTTTTATAAAACTACACTAATTTTGTACCTCCGTTACTTCTTTCTTAATGCATAATAAATTATTCTTTCAAAATGGCCACGATGACAGATGCATTATTTTTAACCAATAAATAACTATTGTCTTCCTACCAATGAATTTAAATTAAAATAAGAAAAGTTCATATTGATTCAAACATATAAACTTAAAAAATCACTTTCCACATTCGATTGAAAAATAAATTTTTGATGAAAAACAAAAAACAAAACATTTATTGAAGAAGAAGAATAAGAAGTAGGGTATGTTAGAGTTTGGTAGTCGTTTTTGAGAAAGAAAAAAAAAGACGCATCTAGAGTGAAGGAGACGTCGTCTCTATGTGATGTTCACATACGCTTGAACAGTTACTTGAGAGGCAAAGACGCGAATAAGAGATACTGGGAGAGACATGATTTTTATATTTAAAGGTGTGCCTATTCTAGCAAAACGATGTCATTTTACTAAAAATAGGGTTAAAAAAACTAATAAAATGAATTGTGCGCTTCCTTCGATTCGAATTGAATTATACGATTCATGTGTGGTTCTCAGTCAAAAATGATTACGAATCGAATGAGAACTAAATCGGATCGAATCGTATGAATTGAATCGCTAATCGTACAATTTTGATAACAATGGAGTGTAGATATCCACATCAAAGATTGGCTATGAGTGGAAAAGCTCACATTACGTCATTATACCATGGTGAGACGAGTTCTAACACTCACCTTGTAATCAAAATTCAGACATGAAGAGATATAAAGAAGCAATAGAAGACACACAGAGATAAAAGGTAGGGCATGAAGAAAAGGGGAAACAGTTACCAAATCAGTGAAACTATGTCTAGCCCAAAAATTCTCAAACCAACTTTGATACCATGTTAAAGCATCTAATTCTAAATTTTATTCATCAGCGGAGAGGTTCACAAGTTTCTTGCTAGTTTGGGAGGTGTTACAATGGCAATGTGGGGCACATTCTATAAAACTCCCTCGGATTCACCATAGTTTTATGACTTAAATACAAAAATTTGTTCTAGATCTTGACATTTTCTTTCTACAGAAACATCCTAGAATAATCATTGAATGAGAAACAAAATTTGGAACTAACAAGTTTAGAAACAACGACCAATCATACAACTCAACCCACTGCAACAAAATCTTCCTTGCAACTATTTGTGGTTGACTAGATGAATTCTACTTCTCCTTTGTGTCTATCAAGATTCATATTTTTGTTAAACTGTAGGCTATCATATATTTTTTTATTATTTCGTTTGAAGTCAATTGTGGCCTACCTCTACTTCTCGCATTACCATTAATATGTATCAAATCATTGTTTCTCACTGATGCATTACTAAGTCTTTCATAAACGTGTTTAAACCACCTAAGTTTATTTTCTTTTAATTTATCTGCTATTGGTATTACTTCAAACAGTTTTGCGAATATATTTATTCTTGTTTCTATTATTTCATGTTTCACCACACATCGATTTTAACATCCACATTTCTACATCTCTTAGTTTTTGAGTGTATTGTTTCTTATTTACCCAACACTCGGTACCGTTAAATGTTGTCGGCCTAATAACTGCCTTACAAAAATAAATTTCCAATCTAAGGGGTATACGTCTATCACTTGACATGCCATATGCATTCCTCTATTTGACTCATCCAACTTTAATTCTATGATTAATATCAAGGAAGCACTATACTTCCCTAGGGGTGTCGTGGTAATGTTGGACATGGATACGCGTCCTACATGGCTACAAGCGTCCTAAATAGTGATCTCAGTCAGACACGACCAAGACACCGCTAAGACACGGCCAGGATACGTTCAGGACATAGGTAGGACACGATCAATATTTTAAAAAAAAAAAAATAACTATTAACTATTAAGAGAGGTGCAATTTATTTATTTTTTATTTGTATTTTTTGTTATGTGACCTATATATCATGAATATTAATAGATGTAATGATGTTTAATAAAAATAGTGAATGTTTATTTTGATCTATTTTAATTTTAATGAAAAATTAATATTTGTTAGGTCTTATTATTAATATTGATATAAAACAAAATTATTATCTAACAAATATATTATATTATTTTTATTAGTAGTATCTTTGCCATACACGTGTTTGTATCGTATCGAGTACGACAACCGTGTCCGTATCCATGATTCCTAGATTAATATTGTCAACACTCTCTCCCTCACGAACCAATGATACAAACAATTATTATTCTATGAATGACACAATGCAATAATAGTGGATGCTTAATGAAAATTTTTCCACCATCAAAAAACCTTGGTAGCAAGATATATCTTAGTACCTTAAGCTTCTTCGCATCCATTCCACAAGTAACCCCACAAAGAATAAAATTAGAATAGCTTGGATATGGATTGAGGAATGGCATTTCTTTTAAAAGCTTATACAACCGCTCCCGTTCTTGAACTAAAGCCACTTTAACCTTCTGGAAGAAATTACATAGGAGTATATTAGGAGTGGTGGTAAATTACATAGATTATTATTTACAGTGGAATTCCCAGATCATCTAAATTTACAGGAATTGGGTAAAGCCAGGACAAGAAATTATTACATACCTCCAAATAAGCGGGATTTTCTAGCGCTGCACAAGCAGCAACTTCGGCAGCAACAGACACATTATATGGTTGCTTTGCCCTCCAAAGATATTCAATGATGCTCAAAGGAAATGCTCCATACCCAACACGAAGTCCAGCTAAAGCTGATTGAAATTTTACCCAGCATCGTAAAAATCTAACAATTCAACGATTTCCTATAAAAAGGAATTTACGCAAAATAATTTCATACAAAAAAGGAAATTTATCTACAAATTTAGTCATCAATGTAAAACAGAAAATACAAAAAATGAAACATCAGCTACATATCTCTCAACTTTCAAAAAATACCTCCATACCAAAAAAAAACACTGATACACGGATTTCGAGTGCTAGATGATGCCAAATTAACCTATACACAAACAGATCAAATTAGATACCATTCAATGTCAATTTACTAGTTGCTCCAAATGCTTCTCCCAAAGTTAACCTACTGAGAATGAACCCAACAAGGCGAATCAAGCCCTCGATGAGTGTTTCCAAAAAGCAAAGTTGAGTTCCACCATGGGGCCAGGCATAGGCAAAATGTTTTGACACGTAGAAAGAAGGGTGGTGCTCCAAAAGCATAAGCTTCAGCTAGGTAGGTGACACTTCAAGAGAGCAAATCTAAGGAATGATTTATACCCTTTTGCGTTTGACTTCCAATGAGTTAAATCGTTACAACCACTGTTTACTTATTTCGTTCAAACGAATTACCCTTTTAGTTTTTACATATTACTTGTCACCAAATTTGCCGTGGAACTTTTAGACATAACCTATAATCACTTTAACCTGTGTCTGCCAACTTGTTTATTTCAAAGACCACAACGCCGCCATAAAAAAAACTGAGAATAATTTCCTTCGTTATTATGGTACTAGGTCTTTCTTGAGGCAGAAAAAACTTAGAAGCATATTTTCCAGTAAAGTCATGGATGATTTTCTAATCAAGCATGCTAACAACTTCTATTTAACATTATTTTTTCTTGTTTCTTTTAACTCTTTCCTGTTACCTATTTACTTCCCTCAATTTTCATTGTTTACACACTAGGGTATAAAAAATCATTACTCCAATGCTCACATCCTCGCTCATGTGCAACCTCTTTTCCCACGGAGAGATAAAAACTCACAAACACAACATACGGCAACATAGAAATCGAGGGAAGGAGCCTTATTAATCTGAATCTACCACGTTAGGCTCCCCATTAATCCATAGACTTAACCTGCTGAGGATGGTATCAATTTGTATCTCAAAGTGTCAACAATTATTACAGGTTTTTTATCCCAGCTAGGGCAGGTTTGGGAAGCTCCAATCGAAGTAGGGGGGAAGCTTGGGACAACAACCCGTACGCCCCTGTAGATTCAATCGGTATTGGGTTGAGGATGGAAGGCACTGCCCCAAATGTATGCATATTAGTTCTTGATAAGCCTCCATATTGCCAATCCCAGGAGTGAGAGAGCCAAATTCTCTCTCCTACATGGTAATCCCTTGATGCCACCTCTCAGCTCATCTTTAATTTTCTATTGTTCAATTCCAAAATGTCCTAATTGATTACTTTTAAAAAGTCAACCAAAAGATCAAAAAGAAAAACCAAAAATTATGCCAATTCTGATAATAAATACAGTGAATTCCACTAACATTCCCTGACGTTCATTATAAAAACACTTTCGTTCCCGAAGGGCCATAAATTACACTTGGCCCTTGAGGTTTAAGGTCGACATACAGTCAACTCCTTTAACCAACCAGATTTTGAATTTTTTTATAAGTTCAAACTTTGACCTTATGAAATTTGCAGCCCCTCCGTCCCATTTTCTCCTCTCTCAGCCCCTACCACCTCCACCACTCAAACCTCAACATCACTCATAACTTGCAGCCCCTCCCTCTTTACAAAGAGTAACGATGATGATAATGAATATCCGACGATAGTGAAATTGTAATTTTTTTACTGATCTATGTTATGTGTTCAAATAAGGTAGTGCAATATTGATGTCTGTGTGTTGGATTGGATACTTTGCTCAGATCAAATTTAGGCTATGAAAGCCACTGATGCGGATAGTGGAAAAAAAATAGGACAGATAAGGGATGAGTAAATAGGATAAATTAAGGGAAAAGATCAATAAATCACTCCCTTTATATAGGGAACATCAAGACCCTAAATCAAGATTTGTAATCTAACTCTACCAACCAAGCTAAAAAATAAACTCTTAAGACAGAAAATCCAACAAACTCCAATTAATAGAATAATATTAAGATAAATTCCTAAACACTACTCATTTCCAATCCTTATCAAAAGCCCATTTGAAAATCAATTTTTCTAGTTTCCAGAGGAGAGAATTGTGAAAAAAATAAGGAGAGTGAGGTACAAAAGTATTTATTTACGGGTGACTCTGATATTCATGTGAAGTGACAGGTGATGGTGTCTAATAAGGCTCTGTAATAACCAATTGACCTGTAAATTTTACTTCAACTGGTCCAAAATGCCAACAGCAGATCAGTAATACTGTTAAATAGTGGAAGTGATTGATTTTTCTAGCCATGGTGTCCACCAGCATGCTCTTGTCAACATGTGAGCATGGTTGACAAGGATTGCATCCGCGTCCAGCAAAATATAAACCTCAACAAGGATCCAGCTATCAATATAGCTATTCCAATGAATTACATCGGCGAACAAATTAAATGTATTCATTGCCTGTAAATAAGTAGAAATTTAAGAACATACCAGCTCTTTTGCTAAAGGTTCGAAGAACAATTAGATTTTCATGCTTCTTCACCCATGCCATCCTAGACGGAATTCCCGAAAATTCAATGTATGCTTCGTCCAGTACAACCAATATAGGCAGGTCAAGTATCTTCAAGAGAGCATCCTCATCAATTATGCTGACAAACAACACAGATATTATAACTGCACTTAATAATGGCATACAGTGTTCAACATTCTGTGGTCAAACAAATATACCATCAGCACACTTAGCTGTTAACTGTGAAGTGTAACCACGTTACAACTATACAATCATGTGTCAAGTGCATTGGTTCAGGAAAAAAAAAAACACATGAAAACATAGTTATCAAAATCTTACGATTCGTGATTTAATTCGTACGATTCGGTTCGATACAGACACAAAACGATTATTATCTTATATGAGAATCATTTTTAGAGTTGAATCGCATCTGAATCGTACGATTCATATTGTACGATTCAGTCAATTTTTTTTAAAACCCAATTTTTTTGCAAAACGACATCATTTTGTTTGCTGAAGAACTCATGCCGTAATAAAACTCAACCTCTTTGTTCCTTCTCTCTCTCGCGTCATCTAAAACTCGCCTCGTGTTGTCTAAAACTGAAAGTCACTGCTAAAACTTTTGCGTCATCGGCTGAAGGCATGCCTTCTGCCCCTCTTCTTTTTATTATTCTTCTTTTTAACAGTAAACAAGCCCTAGCATGCCTTTTTTTTTCTTTTTTTCTTTTTTACATTAGATTTTTCTATCTCCTGTCACTATATTTTAGAATAAATTTTGATTTTTACTCTTAATTCTTTCATGGATAATTTGTTAGATTCTAATTTTTTGTTTCAAAATATTAGAGATATAGCAGTCTAGCTTATTAGGGTTTATTAGAGTTGTCATTTATTACTTTTTTATCCTTATTGTAACTTTCATTGAATATATATACAGGGCTCTACACTTAGTTTGTATCTCATTCATTCACAAATATTTCTAGTTAGTATCAGAGCCACCAATCCTAACCCTAACCCTAACCCGACAAACATAGCAACCAATAAGACATCACAACACCACCCCTCATCAAACAGCAAACTAAAAAACCAGCGAACCTCATCAGCCCACTAACTGCCCACCGACAAACCCATGGCAACACCACCGACTGCCCACCCACTACCAACCGACATACTGCCCACAAAACCAGCGAACCTCATCAACCCATCGACAAACCCATAGCAACACCACCGACTGCCCTCTCAATCACCAACAACCTGCACAGCACATAAAGAGACGAAAACCACTCAATCACCGACTTTCCAACACAAACAGCACTCCACTGACATACTGATCAACGAAACCCAGCCTACAAACAATCAACCCACCCCATTGTCCAAACCCAAACCCAATATACCACAGACCAACCCACTATCCTTACTGCCCACTGTTGGGTCACTTACCATAGACCAGTCTACTCATCAGCCCACTATTGGGTCGTGATTTTTTCTTGAATTCTCGTCTCCGTTGATATGCTCTTGATGCAGTAGGTCATTTATTTATATTTATTGGATTTCTAGGTATCGTGACCTAATTATTTGGGAGTTTTCTGGACCTTCTTTATCTGTTGCTACTGTTCGACTGGAGGTATATTGTTCTCCCTTATTTTATCCCTTTATTTATCTTAGAGTTATTTTTTTGTCACGGGTACTCTAGTATTGTTGTTGATATGGCTCCTACTGAGGTACTTGAGACCCCTACTATTGACACTTCTACCGTTGAGACATCTATTGGTACTTCCACTTTATGTTTGATCAGTATATAGTACCTACTGGCACAGTTGCATTACCAGCACTACTGGGCATGATCTCTCAGAAAGTTACGACACAATTGTTGAATGGCCGTAACTTTGGTTAGTAGGCTCGCTCATTCCAGCTTTTCTTAGGCCGTGTAGGGAAGTTTGGTTGGCTGACGGGATCTCACCCAAAGTCAGCTGATGTCGACCCTGAATATTCTGCGTGGTTCTCTGAGAACTGCGCCATTCTTGGATGGTTATTTAGAGCGCATTATCAGAGATGTATTCCCGGTCAGAACAGGGAGTTCATGTTTATGAGCTTTCTCAGGAGCTCTCATATGCTCAGCAGGGAGATATGACCATTCAGGATTATTATAATTATTTGATCTAGCGCTGGCTTGAGTATGAGACTTTATGTTCTCTTGCTGCTATTCCGAGGATAGAGCCCAAGAGAGCAGCATTCTTGCATACTCGAGAGCAGGAGGATGGGATTCACAAGTTCCTTATGGGACTTCGTGATGAGTTTGAGGGACCTCGTTCCCTGATCTTGTCGATGTTGACACTTCTTTTTATGAGGTGTATGCGATGATTGAGCAGCATGAGCGCCGCGTTCGTATTGCATCTCTTCCAGTTGTGGCCTTGACTCCTCCGGCTGATCATATGACCCTTGCAGCTGCTACAGAGTCTCGTTCAGGATCCTCAGTCAGGGGTGGGCAACGCTCGGACCAGCACCGTCAGAGTGCCCCAGATCAGCGCAGACAGGGGGATTCTTGTCAGTGTGATTATCGTGGCCGACCAGGACATCTCAGGGCTGCTTGTTGGAAGCTCCATCCAGAACTTAAGTAGCCTCCTCGCAGCCGTACTGCTGCTATTGCTGAGGTACCACCACCTACTACTACTACTGCTCCTCCTTGGTAGAGTGATATGGATGCTATCACTTCCCGATTGGATATACTTATGTCCGCTCTGACTTCTCAGAGTCCGACTACTGTTGCTGCCACCACTACAGGTATACCTCGTGCCTTTCATGCTTGTGCCAGTTCATCCCCCCTTTGGATGTTGGACTCGGGTGCGAATGGTCACATGACAGGTGAGGCCTATCACTTCATCACTTTTGACGAACAGTTACATACACAGGTTCAATTAGCAGATAGGACACATACCCCTATTGTTAGTAAGGGTACAGTCCACCTCTCAGATGGCTTTACATTACGTTCAATTTTTCATTCGCCAAAGTTAGCCATGAATATATTATCTGTATATCAGTTAGCCAGAGATTTTCACTGTGCAGTTGTATTCTTATCTCATTCGTGTTATTTGCAAGACCTGAGTTCTAGGAGGATTATTATCAGGGGACATGAGAGAGATGGACTGTATTATCTAGGCGATTCGCCTCCAGTTTCACCAATTCCTTCATCTACATCACCTACACCTACTTTGTCTTTATCTGTTCCTAGCTTGCATGCTAGTATTTTACCTAGTAACTGTCGTTATGATTTTTCGTCACAAACTGTTCAGTTGTGGCATAACCGTTTTGGACATACAAATTTTAAATATTTATGTATGTTGTTTCCTGCTTTGAGCAATGCTTGTGTTGGTGGTAAACTTGACTGTGTTATATATTCCCAATCGAAATATGTTAGGACCAATTATATTCCTCGCATGCACCAGTCACCCAAGTTATTTGACCTAATACACTCTGATATTTGGGGACCCTCTCCTGTTACTGCTCTGTCAGGTGCCCGATACTATGTGACATTTATAAATGACCATACTCGTTATACTTGGGTCTACTTTTTGCATAGAAAGTCCGATGTACTCCCTATAATCACTCAGTTTCTACAGATGAGTAAAACACAATTCGATGTCATTGTTCGTGCTCTTCGTTCGGATAATGCCAAAGAATATGTGTCTGATGCCTTAGTGTCTCACCTTTCTTCTCAGGGTATCCTTCACCAACTCACTTGTCCATATACTCCTGAGCAAAATGGCGTTGCTGAAAAGAAAAATAGGAGTCTGATAAGGATGGTACATTGTATGCTTAGAGGCATGGGGGTGCCAAAATCTTATTGACATTTTGCTGTTTTGACTTTTACCTTTCTGTGCAATTATACACCGAGTCGTGTTCTTCAACATAGGGCTCCCTTACAGGTTTTATTTCCTGAGCGAACACTATTTCTGGTCCCCCTCGTGTTTTTGGATGCACATGTTTTGTTCAGGATCGGTCTCCTACTCGTCATAAACTTGATGATAAAGTAATTCGTTGTGTCTTTGTGGGCTATTGTCATCAGTCTAAGAGGTATCAGTGTTATGATCCTGTTAGGCGTCGTATGTATCACAGTCTAGATGTTACTTTTCTTGAGCATATTCCTTATTTTTCTTCCGGTCCTGTGTCTGCCCCTCCAGTTGATGATACTTCCTTTGATTTTTCATTACCCCTGGAACTAGAGCCATTGGTCACTATCACTACAGAGTCATCGGTCTCTCCTTCTCCAGAGTCATTCATCCTTGGTACAGAGTCACCAGTCTCTCTTCCTTTGTAGATTTATGTTCGTCGTCCTCACTCTCATCCCCCTGCTGATGTCCCCTCTACCTCAGGCGATGCAGGTAATACTTCTTAGTTCATTGAGCATATTGATGCACCTATTGTTAGTACTGATGAGATTGCAGGTACTGAGCCAGTTGTTTTACCTGATGAGACATTGTCAGTAGAGGATGATGATTTAGAGCGTCGTTATCCGCGGCATGATCGTCATCCAGTTGTTCGTTATGGTTGGACGGCTAGGGTTTTATACCCGATCTATGCTTATGTTTCTTATGGTGATCTATCTCCTATATTTCGGGCTTATAGTATGGCCTTATCAGATACACCGTTTCCTCGCTCTATTATAGAGGCTGCGGGAGCCCCAATGGATTCTTGCCATGCAGACAGAGATGGACGCTCTTCAGCGTTATCATACGTGGGGTCTTGTCTCTTTACCTTCAAGGGTGAAGTCAGTTGGCTGTCGTTGGGTTTACACCCTGAAGTTTCTTGCGGATGGTTCTATTGATCGTTACAAGGCTAGGCTTGTGGCAAAGAGCTTTACTCAGGTACCAAGTCATGATTTCGGTGCTACCTTTGCCGCTGTGGCAAAATTGACTATTGTTCATTTGATTATCTCTCTGCCTACGAAGTACTTTTGGCATCTTCATCAATTGGCTGTGAAGAATGCATTTCTTCACGGTGATCTGGATGAGATTATTTATATGGATGCACCACCGGGCTTTCGTGGTGAGGGGGAATATGCTGGAAAGGTATGTTGACTGCACAAGTCTCTTTATGGACTGAAACAGTCACCACGAGCTTGGTTCTCTCGCTTTAGTGATGTAGTTGTATGTTTGGGGTTCACCAGATGTCATTCTGATCTCAGAGAAAGTATGTTATGGATCTTCTCTCAAACACTGGGATGCTGGGGTCCAAACCGGCCTCATCACCCATGATTCCAAACCTGAAGCTTACTGCTGAAGGTGAGGAGTTGAGAGATCCGACTGTCTATCAGAGGTTAGTTGGTAGACTTATCTACCTAGCCAACACTAGGCCAGATATTTCATTCGTTGTTAGCCGAGTTAGTCAGTTCATGAACAGACCATGTCAGCCTCATCTTGATGCAGTTTATCATATTCTTCAGTACCTTAAGTCTTGTCCTGGACTTGGGTAATTCTATGCATCAAGATCTCAGACTGGTTCTCTAGCCTGTTATTCAGATTTAGATTATGGGGGAGCATTTGATGGTCGATCTACTACGGGCTTCTGTGCTTTTCGAGAGACTCATCTTATCTCTTGGAAAAGCAAGAAGCAGTCAGTTGTCTCTCGCTCGTTAGCAGAGATAGAGTATCGGGCACTGGCACTTGGCACATGTGAGATTATTTGGCTACGATCAATTCTTGGTGAGTTGGGATTTTCAGTGACTTCTTCATCTACATTATATTGTGATAATCGGTCTGCTATTCAGCTCGCTTCTGACTCTGTATTACACAAGAGGACAAAGTATATAGAGGTTGATGTTCACTTTCTTCGGGAGAAGATTAACAGTAATATTGTCAATCCATCGTTTGTATGGACCAGTGATCAGGTTGCGGATATTTTTACCAAACCTGTCACTCTATCCATTCTTCGGGATTCCGTTGTCAAGCTTGGCTTAGTTGACATTTTTGCGCCTAGCTTGAGGGGTTATGTTGGAGATATAGCAGTCTAACTTATTAGGATTTATTAGAGTTTTTCTTTATTATATTTTTTTCCTTATTGTAACTTTCATTGACTATATATACGGGGCTCTACACTTAGTTTGTATCCCATTTATTTACAAATATTTCTAGTCAAAATGTTGGCTTGAATGTTTTCTCTCAATTAATTTTTTTATTTATTCTTTTTTCATTCATGTTTGTAACCTAGTTTGTACTGGGTGTCACTATTTTGGTTCTTGAATAATCATGATTCTTTAATGAATTTTTTTTTCTAGTTGTCGAATTTGAAAACGGTTAAACAAAAGATGAAAATAAAGCAAAAAGATAGCATATTTCCATTAAGACGATGTAATTATGTCAATTGATTATTTTTAGAATGCAATAATATTTAATATTCAATATTTTGTCTATTTTAAATATGTAAATATTATTTTTTATTTTTGTTCAAATTTTGTGTTAAATCTTATGATTCACGATTCGATACGATTCTCAGTTCTCAACTTTAAGATTTCGATTCACGATATGAATCGCAATTTGATAATTATGCATGAAAATTAATTTGTTTCCTCATGTACTTCTAAAGCTTTGATAGCAATGTATATTTCAAAAAACACAGTGTTCGAACAATAGGTCAATCCCTTATTGAACATATGGCATGACAAAAAATTCACACCAAGACACTTATATTGCGTGCAACTCTTAAAGGCAAGAGGAGGCATAGCCAAAATATGTAGCATATTCCGTTACCATACATCTTTTGAACAGAAGGGATATAATGTTTAACACAAGGTGATCAATAAATTGAATGCGCAAAGCTGGTTACACTTCGAACGAGTGCAGAGCTCAAAATATGACTTTAATTTTTGTCTACAATATATTATTTATTCAACCAAATTTTATATTAATAAAACAGAGGCTCCTGCTTAAGCTCCTCAGTTAGAAAAGCACAAGACGGCCCAGATTGTTTCGATCCGACGATTTATATCTTTTAACCTTTTTACTACAGTAACTCATTTAGATTTTAACTTTTAACCTTTTAACCATGGTAATTCATTTAAATTTTAACTTTTAACCATAGTCACTCTAATGTAGATCGTAATAGCTCTGATACTAAATTGATGTAGACTAGGAAGAGAAAAATTAGGACTGAGAAGAGAAGAAGAAAGGGATGAGAAAAGAGAAAGAATTTGAGAATGAAGCAATATCAGTATTCAATAATAATCAAAGTCTACTCTAAATAAAACTCTTACATGCATCCTTTTATATAGGGAAACTAAAACCCTAAAACAAATAAATAATAACAAATAAATCCTAAAAGTTAAAAGAAAATACTTAAAAAATAAATATTAAAAGTATCCAAATAACTCTCATAATTAATCTATAGTATCTATCCAATTTCTACACGATCCCCATCATTCTCTCCTGGTTGAGAAAAACTCTCATCTGGAGAGTCTTCAAAGCAGAAGTACCTTAAGAGAGTAGGAGAAGTACCTTAAGAGAGTAGGATGAAGATTACATAATGTCTTATCTAGAATGAAAAAACCATAAACTTCTTTCCGTCGACAAGGATAAATGCAAGAATCTCCAGCTGTATGAACACTTACTAATAAAATAGAAGACACTGGAGTGCCTCGATTAAATAGCATGTCCTCTAAATAAAAATTCGGACTAATACCAATATTCAATGAAAAATTAAGCAAATAAACATTAGATCCAAACTCGAGAATAGCAAAGCAATTCTCATTAGGTTTCAACAAAAAGTATTCAATGAAATAAGACATTGATGACAAGGAGTAACAATAATGCCTTAGTGGTGAAAATAATTAAGTACCAACTAAAATGAAATCTTGATAGTAGGAATAAAGTCAACTATTTTAGTGGGGAAAGACTTGGGAACAAAATTAGATTGACTTGAAATAGGAACACAAAACAATCACCAAAAAATTCTGAAATAGATAACTCAATATGCTCGACATCTTTCAAAAGTGTGGACTCAACAAACTTTTCAGCAAATTCCATTAGAAGTGGGGACTCAACATTTGACTCCGGCAAAGGTTCAAACTCACTTTCTTCAGGTATCGATTTTTGTTGGTACAAAGGAGGTGAGCTCTGATCTAATGAAACTGGACAAGGGGATTGGTAGTCGACATGAGTAACATTTTTTTTTATATGTAAGAGTGTGTCATCCAAATCCATGGTCACCATGGAATTAGAAAAACATGCAAAAATAACATGTACATCATTCAAGTAATCATGATGCTCATATGTGATGGAATTAAATTTGGAAGGTGTACTGTCAGTAGGCAATGATTGAGAACCCATCAAGCTATAGTTGGATTTCTTATGAAATCTCTCAACTTTTAGAATATATTGATAGGTTGTAACTAACGTATTAAAAGTGTATAACTTGACCTATCTACTAATTTTTTGTCTCAACCCAAGAATAAACTAATCAATTGTCCAAGGTTCTTCAACAATGTCACACAAATACATGAGATAATCGAACTAGACAAAGTAATCAGAGACACTAGAAGAATGTTGTCTAAGATTGAGTCATTGGTCATAAAATTGATTCGTGTAGGAAATAAGCAAATACTTCTTTTTCAATTTATATCTCATTTCAACCCAAGTAATAGGTGATTCTCCTAAACTATCTAGGCTTCTTTAGATTGCTTGCCAATATCGCTTGGTGGAACTCTCCAACATCAATTTAGCAAAACGGATGCAATGAGAATCCGACATGTCATGCCAATCAACATATTCTTCTAAATTAGCTAATTAATCCAAGAATTCAAAAGGATCTAAAGTGCTACTAAATATAGAAGGATCTTTGATTAGTTTGGTCATATGGGACTCCATATAAACATCCCTAGACTTCCTATGAAGATGACCTTGAGGAGAGACTCTTGAAACATGCGTATTAGAGGAACTCATGAGTGACTCTTGAAAAAAGGAAATGGACCCCAAAAAATTCAAGAATTACAATTGATAATTTCAAGAAGTAAGAAAGCTCAAATAGAAGAAAATATGTTTTGGACCTTTTACAATTCTCTAATTTTTCAATGAATAAAAATATTAGTTTTAAATTTCTATAGGAGTTTGCATACCATAATTCAAGCTTTACTTTGAGGGAATTCTAAAATTCAAAAACTTTATGAGGATGATTATGCAATTTTTGAAACTTCTGGGGATTCTTCTGCAATTCTGAAACTGTTGGATGATATTTTTGTGATTTCTGGAACCTTTGGGAGTGATTATGCAATTTTTGAAATTGCTAGGGATGTTTCTACAATTTTTGACTATAGGGGCAATTCTTTTTTTTTTGGGCTGCACAGTCCTGTGATTTCTGAATTTTTTTTTCACTGCTTATGGCGATGAACAGTGGTGATAAACAGTATTTTTTTCGATGAACAGTATTTTCAGATGAATAGTGCGTGCAATGAACAATGATTTTTGTGATTTGTACGAATCGAAGTTGGGCTCTGATACCAAATTGATGTAGATTAGGAAGGGAAGAATTAGGGATGAGAAGAGAAGAAGAAAGGGATAGGAAAAGAGGAATAATTTGAAAAGGAAGCAATATCAATAATCAAAGTCTAATCTAAATAATACTCTTACATGCATTCCTTTATATAGAATATAAAATAATAAAATAAATAAACCCTTAAAAGTTAAAAAAAAATACTTAAAAGTTAAAAAAAAATACTTAAAAGATAAATACTAAAAGTATCCAAATAACTCTCATAATTAATCTATAATATCTATCCAATTCTCACACAATCCCCATCAAACTCACTTAAGATTTAATTTTTTAACCACAATAACTCAACCCATACATTAAAAAAAAAATGTGCTTTGCACGGGGGCACGACTAATCAATAAATAAAACGAGTAATTGCAGTACTAAATTAGTCAATAAATAAAATAAGTAATTGCAGTACTAAATTACCTCCCATCTGGATTGTTGGGAGAAGTTAGAAATATGCACTTTGGTTTCTCCTTCGCAACAACTTCAGCAATCCGTTCTACATCCAAGCTGAAGTCTGACCTCCGGGGTACTGGAAAAATAGATGATGGTATATGAGGTTATGCACATACGCCATAAGTATGAGAATAATGGCATGCAAAATCAAAAACATTTTCTATATGATCAATGTGGAAAAGAGGAACTTGGAAAATAAATTTATGAATCCATGGTCAAGAGTGGGAAAAATAAACCATGAATATTCAGAATCTAAGAGAGTAATAGAGCAACAAAAAAACTTTGGCTTACCCTTAGTAACTAGAGCGCCATTGACAGCAGCATCAAATTCATACATTGTAAAGGTTGGAGGGCAGTCAACAATTTTGTCACCCGGCTCCAATACGCACCTATAAAGGAAACAAACCAAAGAAGGAGAAATCAAAGATAAGCAAACAATTTATCAATCTTAAAAAACCATATCAACAACAGCAAATTCGGAGGCCTATTGTTTCAAAATGTAATAAAAAGCAGCAAACATATCACTAAAACAACGAAATATCTTATATTACTAACCGCATAATCAAATCAATGAGCTCATCTGCACCACACCCTGCAAGAATATACTTGGACTCAAGGCCAGAATCCTTGGCAAGTGCCGCACGCAACCTTCGGCTTTCAGGGTCAGGATAAATATATGGGAATTTCATTGTCCCCAAAGCCTCAAAAACCTATACAGAACGATTCATTTACCATAATATCGATAAAATTGAAAGGACAATACAACAAGGGACATCAGTTGTATTCATATAAGAATTATATCATGACATACAACTTGCCTCAGGAGGTGGACCATATGGGTTTTCATTTGCATCTAATTTGATGATATCCTCAGGCTTTCTACCCAGATGAGTCGACAAAACCTGCACAGAAAAAAAATTAAATTTCACGTGGATAATAAAAAAAGATTATCATGATTATCAATTAACTTAGCATGTATCAGACCTTTCTAACTACAAGCAATTCATCAATGCCACGTGAATCAGTCAAATAGAACATGGTACATTACAAGAAACTTGACCATCAATATTGGCCAGGAATTAAAACAAAATCAAAACCATCTTAGTCATCAAAAAACTTCACCATTGTTACGTCTATGTTTGTATTGGTATGATTCAGCAGAAAACTTGATTTGAGTTTTAACTTTTAACCATTCAAATTGCCATGACTTGATCCATACGAAGTGACGGAAGCACCATTGAGAGATTGGAAGTCAAGGAGATGCATAAGTCAGAGTTTGGGAAGCTTCAGGTATGATGGATCAATCATACGCATCTGTACTTGAATATGCTAAAGTGGAATGATCACAGATCGATCCACCATATAGTCTCAATCTATAAGCATGTGCTCTACAGTTAAAAATTCTGAAGCAGAATGAAATCCCTTTTTCTTATATAACAAACAAATAATCTAGTCACATAAAGCTCCCCATCCTGAAGGAGAATGAATTTCTCAAAAAGAATGGTCACAGATCGATCCATGAGAAGTCCCAATGGATCCATGAGTTGTCAAAACTTAAAACACAGAAGCAGAATGTTTAGATATTGATCCCGACATCTCTGAATTGATCCATCTGTGACTAAAATCTCAAATAATATTAGATTCAGATGGTTTGACAGCAAAAATGATTTCTGAATGTCAATAAGCCATCATAATGCACTAGAGTTGCCTAAAACCACATGACTGTGTACTCTGGACCTTAAATGACAAGATTCATCTTGATTCAAGGGTGATGAATAGCTGGAATTGGGGAACTCCAGCTTGTGTTTAAACAGCTAGGGCCACAAGGCTATGGACAAGGAATTTTCTCTGTAAAATCTCTTCTTAAGGTGCAAGAATGAAAACCAGATACAGACGTCAAAGCTAGAAAAGTGTTGTGCATCCTCAAGTGAATCGTCCATGAGTTGTCTTATGAGGATTGTGTTCCAGCCTTGTTCAAATGCTCAAAACAAAGCATTAATTCCAAGAGTGAAAGGAGATATCCGTGGGTCTAGAAGTGTGAACTTGAATTGATTTCAATAGATTTCATTGAAAGAAACGCTTCTAATATTTTAGACACCATTGGCACCTCAAATCTATAAAACAGCATGTGAGAGATATCGGTGAAGAATGACGCTCCGGTGAGTCATGATTGAGCTGAGATTACAGGGGTTCTGGAGAAACTATTGAGGATTTCATTGCTGTGCCGTGGATTCCACAAAGCCAGTTGAAAATTAGGCTCTTTGTGGACGTGTTGCAACAAGTTTACGAACTTGATTGTAGGGATTCAAGGTTCCATTGGAACCTGCTTTGATTTGAGGATTCCAGAAGATAGAAAGTAGTGCATCTTGTAATCAGTGAATCCACTGTGCAGGTCCTGTGGTTTTTCCATTATAGTTTTCCACATAAAACTTGTGTTTGTGCAGGTGAGATTGTTTCATCTACATTGTTTCATTTATACAGCACAAGAACCAATGATGAAAAACTAACCTGGACAGGCTTAATGAAATCCGCATGGTGATAGGATGAAGAAACTTAAGTCCCATAAATTTAATGGCACCATTGGTTGAGTCTAATTGCTAATATCAGTAGAAGTTCTTGCTTAGCACTATCCCCCAAGGTCAAGCGACTCCATAATTCTTGAACTTCAACCATCATTACAAATTATTCAGCAGAACCGAATGTACTTTTCAGATGCATCTGAGCTATTCAGTGAAGGGCAGAAAAAATGTTATAACCCACTGCATCCATAATGAGTACAGAACATTTATCAACATGACGGCCCATTTTATTTAGTGACAGAGGTTTCCATTAAATTTAGCTAGTAGTGGACTCAGATCTTATTCCAGCTAACTCAACCACTCAAGTACTTTGAAGGAGATTTAGCAGAAGTACAACATGCAATCGAAGAATCACAAAACCAAATAAACTGGGTATGAACAGATAACTTTATATTAAAAAAATGGATAACTTTATATTAAGCCCAATAAAATATATTTATGAAATAACACCAACTCTTACTGATATACCAATTTCATTCAAATTGACAACAAAGAATCAATCAACATGGTTACAGTCAACTAGCTGCAAACGACGGGTTTAGATCACTACTTTGACAAATACATGACCCATTCAGCTTGATAATCAGCAGGAACCTTTAATATTAACAAGATACAACACTAGCTGGGGCCAAATGAATTACCTCAAAAGGCAAAATGGGCTGATATGGAGACAATTTCAGCAGATGGGGCCGGATAAAAGAATCCCCTGTCAACTGTTGTTGACCCTCTTCTCTGACATGTTTTACAGGTGCAGTGGAGGCCATACAAGCAACTCTCCTTTGAATTCCTTCACATGGCCAACTGGATCTAATTGGTAACACGTAGTGAAGACCAATGTCCATTTTGATCATGCTAAGAGATAAAGAGCTGCAGACAGAAATCCCAGCCATCAGTATGCATGTTGGAACACATAGTTTCGGCACATGAATAACATACGGAACAATTTTCAACAAAAATTAAAACCAATACCAAAAAGGAGCTTCTTGACCAAATTTGTGCAGGATGATGTAGGAGTGAGTGTGTGTCTGTGTGAGAGAGAGAGAGGACATTCCAGTATAGATTCAAAAATAAATAATAACCATTTTTTTCCTGTTTTATTTCTGGCAAGGGAATGTAATGTTTATCTAGCAATTCTCTCACATGAAATAATAATCAGACATGAACGCCCTTCTCTGATGCAGTTTGCTCTCAATTGCTCTCAGTTGGTATTTAATGTTTTGACTCCCTAAGAACTCAATATCTAGTTTTGAATATTGTTTTTCAATTTCATAGCCATCTATTCTTTCCTGGCGCAGTTTGTCCCCAGTTTCTTTTTAAGCACCAGGTGCTAATGCAAGTCTTGAGACATTCGGAGGGGTCTGTAACACATTTTCACCCAATAGCCCCAAGTGTGGTATCCATAGAGTGGACTGGGTACTGACTAGCCTCTACCACTATATGCAGAAAGTGACTGCCCAACCAAAACATTACAGTTCTTAGCCTGTACCATAACCTCACAGTTCTTAGCTCTAGAGTGTAACCATTGCACTAGGAAATGAGCCCAGATATGTAAAGCCTAATCATCTTAAATGACTTAGAAGGACCATTAAACTAAATCTAGTTTCTTATCTCCCAAAAAAACATTGAATCTAGTTCTTCTGAGAAGAAATTGTGAAGTTAAGAAATGAAAACTCCCCAATGGGAGGGTGGTTTAAGAGTATCTCCAACCTTAATTCAAATGTAGACTCAAATTTAAATTTAAGTCATAATAATCCAAAAAAGTTTTCTAACCTTGGATTCAAACTTATACCAAATCAAGGCAAAACTTATTCTAGACCCAAATTGAAGCAGACTCAAATTTTATACCAAATTTCTAACGGTAACTTTTTTAACTTATCCAAAACTAAAAGACTTTCTCTATTACGCTGCTTCCGTCGCCGACCACTATTGAAACTTTAACAAATCATTTGAAGACTAGTAGGTAAGTTTTTTCTTTTTTATCTTCCATGTTCTTAGATTTCTTGTATTTTTCAAAACTCTAGTCTCACCTATCTTCATACTATATAAACCCTAAGCTACCTATCAAATTCTTCTTTTGATTTTTTTGAGTTAAACACTATCAGTAGTACAATTTCAAGCTACAAATTCTTCCTGAAATTTTATGCTTTCGCTACCCACAAATTTAGAAAATTAGTTATTTTATTTCTTCAATCTTATATTTTTGTTAAAAATGTATGTTTTTTTTCTTTTTCAGACCAAACCCATGTCAAAATAGTTATATTTTTTTTCTTTTTCTGGAATTATAAAAAATAATAAGGGATTAGAACAATTTTAGTATTCTTTGGTGGTTTCTTTAATTTTTATGTAGGGTTGTATACATATTCATTTTCGTTTGAATTACCCATTTGTGGAGAGATGAAAGTTTCATTTATTTTATCAAATATCATGACTTTAATGAGACAAAAAAATGAGTTTTGGAACAATAAGAATTTTTTTTAAAAGATTTGAGTAGATGTTTGACTTTGTCCACGAGTACTCTATACTAAATCAAGTTTTTAACTTAAATTTAGATTCAAATTTGAGTCATGGTTGAAAATACTCTAACACATCCCTATCGCTTGTGTCTTGAGGGGCAGTGAACATAATCTACTTCTTGCATTGGAATGGGGGGATGATTAATGGATTTCCACCTCATTTGTGCTTATCAAACAATTCACGTTGCCAATATTCATTCCCATAGCAATTATTAAGTTATTCCAATCTGAACTCTCCATCTTCAAAGGAATTTCACCCACGCCAAGTTGAAAATCTTAACATTCAAAACAATACAACTCCCATTACGCTAGTTGAAAACACCAAAATTGCAGCAAAAAGCTCAACAGAGGGGGGAGAGAGAGAGAGAGAGAGAGAGAGAGAGAGGGAGGGAGATGACCTGAGATTGCTGTCGGGGGACACACGCAGAGAGAGAATCCTGTCACAGTGGTTGGCGGCTGACGGCTGTGGTAGTGGTCGCACTGACAGACACGGAAAAGAGTGTGTGCTTTTTGTAATAAGAAGCAGAACAAGCCAACAACGATGTCGTTTCCTTAATTAGACTTTCCGTTCATTTTGAATCCGGTCTTGAGCTTTGTTGAACATTCCCCAGGCTCCGTTTATTTTGCAGGATAAAGATAAAAAATATAAAAATGAGAAAATTTTAAAAAATTTTATTTGTTCTGTTAGCATGAAATAGAAAATAATAAAAAAAATTATTTTTTTTCATACTTAGATTTTCTAACAACTAATCAATTTTTTTTCTCGTAAACAACACAAGAAAGTTATGATATTTAATTAAATTTCAATATTACCTTTATTTTTCTTAAAATATTTTATTGGTTATTAATTTTAAAAAATCTTATTATGAATTTGATTAATCATATAATTTAGTTATGAAAACTTGGTTCTGGTGCTTGTCCCAAAATTAGGTTAAGAACTATTTTTTTTAAATTTTAAAATTTTTAATTATAATAAATATGTTTTACTTCTTTAAATCGATTTAATATACTTAAGGGTAATTTAGATAATTAAAAAAAATTCCTTGTAACTTTCCTTTCTTTCAAATAATTAACTGAATTTTTTTTAAATTTTCTCATAATTTTTTTATGCTAACCAAATACATGCTTGAAAATATTTTTTTTTTCATTTTTCTTTTCTTATACTTCACTTTCTATCATTTTTATTTTCCCTCATTCTTTTCTTCCTAACCAAACGGACCCCTAGGTTCCTTTCAAAAAAAAAAAAAACATTCCCCTAGTTGAATTAGCAGCAAATCTAAATTTTAGATCAATAAATTAAGTTTAAATAATATTATTCTTAAATAAATTATGTGTAAATAGAGCATCAAAATCATATAATAATTATTTTTTTTAATATTTAGTAATAAAAATTTATCTACATTAATATTTAATTTCTTAACATAGAGATAAGATCTCTTAAAATATATTTTCTCTCTATTTTTTTATTCTTCGTGAGTTATTTATCTTGAATTTAAGTAAGACTCATTATATATAAGTGAAGTTTTTCACTCATCAATAATAAAAATCTGGCAAAAACCAAGATTGTAAAAACAAATATTAGAAGAGAAGTATATTCCATAAATATGGAATAAGTTGTTATTAAATATAAAATGATATTATACATTGTTAAATTAGTCGATAATAAGCTCAAATTTAGTGAGACAAAACGATTCGACCCACACCCTAAAATCATAGTTTGAACTTTGAAGATATTCTCAAAATACATGATCCCAAGAATGTCATCTCAAGGAGTTCAACCCCTCCTTCAAATAAACTACTTGATGATTCGATCAATTTGGACTTTCATATACACAAAAACTTCTTCCCATCCCTTGTATTGTGTATCCTTAAGGCATAAAAAATATTAGATGTTGATCCCACTTTGAATACCAAAGATCGGTGATATTGTCATGAGAAATGCAGGAAGTCGGTAGTAAACTTGATGATTTAAGAACATATCGACTTGCATTAACTCCCGGTGACTAGTAGGTAAGGGGAATTTAATACAATGCCGGATCAATTAGAAAAAACTTGGGTTTGTCCTCTTAACTTCAATGTCTTTATTGAAGCGATGAGCTTTAGAGATGATTTTATCATGTGGATTATTTGATGGGGGCTTTTAATGAAAGCAAGTTTACTTGGAGCAATAATCAAATGGGTCAACATTATATCTGGGTTATGAAGTTGGAGTTCTTTTAGATAGTTATTGTCGAGTGATGAAGTCTCAATAAAGGAGTCAAAATTCAAATGTTACGGTCACAATAATACCAATGGATTATGATGGTGTATTTCAACGTGATGCAAATTTGTGATGATGAGTAAATGAAAGGAACAATGTTAGAATTGTTGGGATCTGAGCTATTAGACTCGAGTAAATGATACTGAGAATTGTCAGGGAGTTAGAGAATTAACTCAGTAAAAATATAGTGGTTCACCAGTTCGGGAACTCGGTTAATCCACTCTTTAATGGAGACTCTTCCTCCTTGTCCTTCAATAATGATGATTACAATAGTACAATGGCTAGTTTTTGCCTCTAGGGTTCTCTCCTTCCTTGGGGGCGTTACATAGTATTTATAGGGCTGTTTCCTATTCAGTGGGATCTTAGCCGAGATTCTTGTCCTTACTTCGTGGGATTCTCCTTAATTCTAGGAGAAAATCTTGGTTGGTTGAGATTCAGTGCCTTGATTATAGCTTCCTAACGCTTTTAGGAACCTATCGTGATCTTCCAGTTGTTGCCTTGGTTGTTATTGCCCTTGCTTATCTCGAAGGGACCTCCAGCTCTACTCTTCCGAGTTCTGTTCGTCTGGTCTGACCTCCTGGGCTGAGCTGACCTCTTGAGCTGGTATTTGAGATTTATTTTGAGGTATCATCAATTGCCCCCCAGCCCTTGGCCCAAGCGAGCTTGGGCATGGGCTGAGCTGCTTTTACCTTAGACCAGACCTGCGCCTAGCTGACCTTAGTCTGCATGTGAGATGCATATGGGAGGGGCTTTTTTACGGTGGCAGCAATCATGGCTCCCTTGGTTCCCGCGCACGTCTCATCCAATGTTTGTCAAGCCTTAAATGCTCAAAAAGGCTAAAAGAAAACGTACAAAACCACTGTTCATCTTCTATGCTGTTCAGCTTTGTCTCCGGCTCTTTCTCTCTATGATTTCTGGGTTTTCCTCCACGTGATTCCCTTATTCTCTGCTCTAGGTTGTGCTTTCTGGGTTCGACTCGAAGTCCTGCTTT